TGGCTCACATGCATCATATACTTATTCATTTTACAGGTAGAGGAAGACGACGAGTCTGGCGAAGATTTCACGAAGGAGCTCGACGAGGTTCCCGTAGGCTCGGATGAAGAGGAAGAAGAGGAGCCTGTGAAGAAGAAAGCCCCTGCGTCCAAATCTAAGGCAGAGCCCAAGGCGAAAGCTGAACCCAAGGCGAAGGCTGAACCTAAAGCAAAGCCTGCATCGAAAGCGAAGGCGGAACCCAAAGCAAAGGCGGAGCCCAAGGCTAAAGCTGAACCCAAGCCCAAGGCAGAACCAAAGAAGAAAGCTGCCGCTAAGAAGGTATGTTTCTTGTCTTTCCAAAGCCACTAATGTACTAAGAATTGTCTAATAGGATGAGGACGTTGAGATGGCTGACGAGACTGCGGCTGACGATGCTGAAGAAGGTAGCAGCAAGAAACGCAAGGTACATTTCATTGCACACGGATTACTACATATACACCCTAATTTCTTCCTATTAGCGCGCACCTGCAAAGACCGCAGAGGCCAAACCCCCATCGAAGAAGGCCAAGCCCGTTTCAAAGGCGAAGAAGAGCAAGGAGACTGTCGAGGAGGACGAGGAAGATCAGCTCGATGACTGAACATACCCACTCACCAAGGGAGTGCTTATCCTCTCCGGTTGCTGGCACCACGCTCTATGCCATGATGTCCTTGTACTATCTTATCCATTCTCCAGAACATTTCCCCAGAGAATGCTTATTCCCTTCTCATCGACTGCCTTTGTTGTTGTCGCGGTACTTTAGCTTTTTCTTGTGTCGTCGCATGTACTATTAGTCGTGTTTAATATCGTTGCTTTTTTCGTGAATCCTGAACACATCCTTGACTCTAGAAACAGTCTTCATTCTCCAAGACACTAAGCAAATCCCTCCTGGATCTGCGCCAGTGCTGGTTCAATCTCGGATGATGCGTTGAATGAGTGCGTTCTATTTATAGATCCAGATAGGCCTGGATCATTCCACCGTTATGGGTCATCTTTCAGAGACGTATCGGCTCAGCTGCGTATTTAACCGCGATGCCTTCGCCGCCACCTTACTCATAACACTATAGTCTCCTAAACATCACGAGCCATGGCCAAACTTATCAACAATAATGACGCCGCGAGCACCAATGCCGCGCAAAGCTTTTCAAGCTTGCAATATGAACCAGAGTGAGACTTTTATGTACTTGATAGTGGTCATTATACTCACCAATGAACCAAATGCGATAGCCCCGTCGGATTTTCACCCAAATCCATGCCCTCAACACACCGCACCACTGCAGTTGGCGGCGAGTTTCCACCAAGATATCACACTATTACACACCCCGTCTCGCACAAACTCACGCACCAGGAAGTCGGGGTTTACAGAGGCGACCCGATACGGATGGTCGGGAAGATTTTCCTGCCTGGGGACGGGGAAAACCTGTGGGAAGTGGTAGAGGTGTCGTACGGAAAGAAGGAGGAGAAGACGGGGTGGACGTCGGTAGTCGTGCGGATCGAGGGCAATGACAAGCTACACACAATTGTGATGGAAGAGTTTCTGGAGATGTTTGAGACTGGGGTGTTGAAGGGTGTTGATTATTAGAGATTCTTAGATGGTACGTTGTGCATTGAAATTTAGTGACGAGAGGTTGTTGATTGGTATAGATTATTATAGATATTTGACCTCTTTAGATTAATATTCGTTTGTTAATGGGGCCTATGAAGCCGCCGTAGCACTGGCAGTCACTGCTACTCAGTATACGCAGCAATAATATTAGAGTAGTTCCCGCCTTTAGGCAAATGTACCCTCAGAATGTATTCCAGCTGAATCAACTTCGATTCCGATGAAATTGTCTGGTCTCTATACGAGTGCGAATGTTAAAAATACAACGGGTAGATGATTGATGATGCTACATAAATGAATTGAGGGTGTGATTGAAAGCTGACCACAGTTAGACCTAATATCCATCATAATTGCCTCCAGAAGATGCATCAACGGCAGGTGCGGTAGTGGAAGGCACAGACCCAGTCGCAGTCGCCAAATTATCACCCGCTGGCGTCGACGTTGGTGCCGCAATGGAGGTCGTTACGGTTTTCATCTTCTTGTGTTTCATCGACGGACAAGGCGTCGATTCGGCCTCCGAATCCTGAGATATAATCGTAGCATGACCGTCGGCTAGCAGACTCGAGATGATGCTGGACGCCTCTTGAGGGGCAATGGTCCGGGTGGCAGAAAAATCGGTGGGCTTTGTGAGCGTGCGGGTCACGGTAACGGTGACGCGCTCTTTCGAAGCGGAACCTCGTGTCATGGTGGCTGCCTTGGAATTTGTGCTGCCACTCGAATTCGACGCGTTAGAGTCGGTGCCTGTTATCCCCCCAGTGGCTCCTGACGCTGCAATAAGAGAGAGCGCGTTCTTTTGGCTTGTGCAAGTCAAAGTCTATGGGCTCATGTCAAGACATCGTTAATGACCTCCAAGCAGATAAATGACCGTACCGCTCCTCCGTTTTTGAAATCCGGAACTGCGAAACACGACTGCGTTTGTAAGCAGGCATTCGATGCGTCCCATTTGTCGTTCTTGCAAGTAGCAATTGAATTATCGACGCAGGCTTGGGTCAGATCTATGAAAGAGCGTCAGAGGCGATTCTCATCTTTGAATTATAACGACTTACTGCCACAGGGAGAACTCGTCGTTAGAGTTCGGAACTGAGCATTAAGAGATTGAGCAGACTGCCCATCCGCCGCGAGGTCCGAGTTTGCCACCAGGGAAGCGGGTAAAGAAAGTACCAAGGTCGGAATGCAAGCGATGAACAGGAATTGGAAACGCATCATGCCAGAAGAATTTGACGAGGAAAGAATCTAGAGTGGAGACTCAGAAATACAAGAATGAGCACCTGGCTCAAGAAGAAAGAGTAGAGAAGAGAGAAGAGATGGGCAGCCTACGGTAGCCTAGCAAATCCAGGGCCATTTTGAATAAGAGAACAAAAGAAACCTTGGTAGGCTCACGGTCATTGTTCCTTCGGCGTTGTTACCGAAATGATCATTGTTCCCAAAATAGGTCCGATTGACCAGGCCGAGACGCCGGTATCCTGGCGCCTCCGGTGCCGTGAGAACGGCTCCTTCCGAAACGGCAAGCCTGAGCCACAATCGCCCTCGACGTCGTCCACTAACCGCCTCTCGACACCGACAACCTCAAAATGGTGAGCCCTTTCCGTCCCAGAATACTTTGTTGTCATGTTCTATACCGCCTCTGCGAAGTTGGAATCATTTTACGCCGAATTTGAGCTGGATGCGTGATGGAACTTTTGGATTACACTTGGACGATCAAACTGGACTCGATGCTGATTATTGCTTCCCCTCTGCTCTGCGTCCCTCTAGACCAAGAAAAGAAGAAATGGCGGCCGTAACAAGAAGGGCCGTGGCCACGTCACCTTCATGCGCTGCTCGAACTGCTCTCGTTGCGTCGCAAAGGACAAGGCCATCAAGAGGTTCACTGTGAGGAACATGGTCGAGAGCGCCGCCGTCCGTGATATCAGCGAGGCTTCCGTCTACCCTGGTGCGTCATTTGCAATATCTCTCGTTAGTGTGATATTGACATGGCTTGGAATGCATAGAATACGTTATCCCCAAGTTGTACATCAAAATCGCATACTGCGTTTCATGCGCCATCCACTCTCATGGTGAGTTTCACCATGCTCTCCACAACATCGCCAGTTTTGAAATTATTTATTCGTAGTCGTCCGTGTCCGCTCCCGTGAGGGCCGCCGCAACCGTGCCCCTCCTCCACGTGTCCGATGGAAGGATGGAAAGAAGGTTAACCCTGCCGTTGCTGCTGCTGAGGACGCAAAGGCATCAGCTGGAGCTGCAAAGGCCTAAATTTGTATCGTTTCGCGCAGCCCACTTTCTATTTGCAATAGCATTGCTTTCCCCCACATGAATACTCGTCTCATAAGTCTGAAGGATAGGCAGCCTGGGTTTTTGCGCAAAATGTGCCGTGAAGCTTGATGTCCGATTTCTGTTACGAGACGCCCGATGCGAAGGAAGCGCCGAGATTTTGCAATATTTCTGTATATTCCGCACCTGTCCAAGCGCCTCCCATGTAATTGTGCTGAAAGAACATATTGGCAGCAGATTGATTTTGAAGCAAGCAAGCACGACACTGAAAGTTCGACACCTATCGTTTATATTCCGGGGAACTGGTTATAGTTTTCAGAAGGATTCGTGAAGAGGAAGTAAGCATGAAAAAATTGCATTGCACGTAAGTAAGAGATGTGGCTGTCACTACTATCTAGAAATCCATCATCGCCTTGAACAAGGCTAGTGTTGCTAGCGAAAGCGAAGCCTGGGATACACTCTCCGACTGCGTAAAAAGGAAGACCCGTCCTCGCTCACGTTGGCGTCTGGAAGGGGGGCAAAGAGTCGTAGAGAAGAGAAACGAGCGCCAGCAGAACAAGGGCTTTATACGCAATTTTGGTATTTGTGCGTGCTTGCACTCGAACAGCGACCTCACGTGCTGAATTTTTTTTGCTTAGATAATTTTTTTTCTTTCACAGCGGATTGCGTTCAGTTATCTGCCCGATACTGAACACAAAATAGAGTGCAAAGAATTAAGAATTGGTCATAATGTTTTGTACTCTCAAATGGCAAAAATAGTGTCGGCCTTATGGTCTAGTCGCATGATTCTTCCTTTGGGTACATAATCTGATTGGAAGAGGTCTCGGGTTCAATTCCCGATGAGGCCCTTTTTGTGCTGCGAGTATCCTTTCGATACCGTTTTACTGCAGCTTTTTGTAGATACTAGATGTAGATAGAATCTGAGAATCTGATAGAATATATGCTTATGTATTGATCAAATTGGTCCATCGGATCTTCACAATGAACCGAGATGATTTTATGGCTCTTTACTACCGCTTTCTTTATTACACAATGCATCCCAAACTCCTTAATGGACAATTCACGGATAATTTTTCCAAACAACATAATTATACGGACTGATAGAAAATTGTAGGTCCAGTGGTCTAGTGGTTATGATTTCTGTCTCACACACAGAAGGTCCCCGGTTCGACCCCGGGCTGAACCAATTTTTGCCCACGTCCACCAACTCGAGGCATTTGTAGTTCTGATATCTGTTTATCTACAATTTTCACTCTCAAAGTTTCAAGCCATTAACTGAACATCAAGAATGGGAGGACTCGTATTACACCTGTACAGTATGTGCTAACAAGACTACCGATAAACCCAACTCACATTTTGCAATATTTTACACGCTTACGAGTATGAGATAAAAAAAATAGCTATGGTAGGCAGTACGAGTAATAATTGAAAGTCCGAGGGGGTATTTTGTAAATATCACGATGTCATAGTGAGTAAGTGACTGCTCTCCGTTTGTTTTGTCTGTCTCGTTCTGATGTAGAGGGGTGCGAATGGTATGACGGGATGGATATTGAGGGGTGAGAATGGTCCGCTGCGGATTGAGTGCGTTTTTGAAATCCCGTTAAGTCCTGTCTCGGTATCGTCGGCTGTGCGAAAGTAAGGGGTGTGTTTCTATTCGGATCGAGGATCAGCGTGTGGCCTTGACCGTCGCCGGACTGTCAGGTATAAAAATGTGACGAGGAAAACGCTACTGGCGAGGAGAGTCCGAATAAAGGAGAGTCCGTGTGAGGAGGTGAGAAAAAGACAGCAAAAAAACCAAGGAGAAGCCGGTCCGCGTGCGCGCATGCAAGAAAATAAAAAAAGAAGGCACAGGACTCGGAGAAAAAGGCGATAGCCGCAGACCGAGCTTCCTACGGCCGCGGCGTTATCCGCACATCCGTGAGGGCAGAGTCGAGGATTGGCGAATGGCTGAGACTCCGTGAACCGGAGCGTGCAAGGGGCAGCGCTATGCTCGAATTATTCGAATGGTGCTGATGGTGCCGTCGTGACGGCATTTTGCCCTTCTTCAGCACAGGCGTGTGCTCGTCGCTCCTATCGTCACTGTCGTCGTCTTCTTCCCATTCATCTGCCTCCCGCAGCTGCTTGAGCTCGCCTCCGGTACTCGACTGTCTCCGGTGGTTCCCATTCGTGTGTTGGTGCCCGTGTTCGTCTTCGCCCTCGAAAGCATTGAACAGCGTCGTGCTTTGTGCTTTGTATAGCGAACTCTGTCTGCCATGACGTCCGACCCGGCCCGCGCCTACACCGCTCATGTGGATGTCCATCCCACCACCTGCTCGATCCCGCTCGCCGCCTACCCCATTCCACCCGTCGAGTGACATGCGACCTTGCAGACTCAGCCGTGGGTTCATCAGGCCCGTCTCCAGCGTTGAGTGATGCTGACCGTTGGCGTGGTCCAGAGGAGGCGCAGAAGTCCGTGATAGATTGAGTAGATGCACGCCAAGGAAGGTGATGATGAAGCCCGCGAGAAGGGAGAAAGTGTTTGAGGCATCCGATGTATTGAAGCCTTGGAATAGTATAAGGGAGGCAACGATGGTACATGTCGAAAAGCCAACGTAATAGAGGGGGTTGACACTGTAACAAGGCGTTAGTTACGCTGATTGAAATATAAATCCAGGGGCTTACACGTTGGTGGAAAAGGTGTCCAGCGCCTTATTGAAGTAGTTCATCTGCACAAGGATGGATAATCCAACGATGATCATGAACACATACGTGCTTGGATGTGTGAATTGGTTGTTGCCTCCGAATGTCAGTTTAACGGCAACACCAAAGCCCTTGATAGCCATAACACTAATGGAGCCGACGAGTGAACAGATGGAGATGTAAACGACTGGATTGGAACGTCCGTATTTCGGAACGACCATGTAGATCATGACGAGGGTGAAAACCAGCACCAAAAAGCAGTAGAGAAGGAATCCAGGTTGGATAGCAAAATGGAGAATTTCGTCGACGGTGTTGATGGGCTTGTCCTCCGGAGCGTGAAGAACAATGACAAGAGAGCCTAATAGACACAGCGTGCACCCAACCCGACCGAGATGACCCAGCTCTTCTCCCAGCAGAAACGATGCGAGCACGGCACTTGAAGTGCGAAAGACCAGGGGTTAGCGGGGTAAACATAAGGTGCGGGGTGGAATAAAGGGGCGTACCCTATTAAAACACTAAGAGCCCCTAGGGGTGTTACAAGAATTGGGGGTGCAAAAGTATATGCCGCAAAGTTAGCAACTGTAACAAAGGTCTTGTGAGTCGATGTCGCGGATGGCTGAAAGGTCCAACTCACTTTCGCCAATGATCACTGGATTCATGAATTAGATCAGTTGAGAAAAGAATATTTCCATGAGACTTCCTGTTTACGTACTCGTTACCATTCCTGCCCACCATATTGGATTCTTGAGGTATGCGAGATTGTCAGAGGCTTGGGCGTATGTCGAGGTAAGTGCTGCATCGTTCAGGCCCTAAGGATATATCAGCAAGACGTCCGTATGTACTCTGGGAGAAGGGATTGTGAGCCATCGTCCGTCGCAGCGCCCACCATCGAATGTCAAAACGCTTTCGTGGTATGCATGGCGCCTCCTCCAACATGTATGACCCCTCCACAATTCTCTATGTGCTCCATATTATATCCAACTCCTTTGATAAGCCCTTGGTTTTCCTGGCGCTCGCCTCGACAGGCCCCGCTGACTCGAAAAAGGTATCCCATGCACGTACCTTTTTCGTGATGATAAAACTAGAACCAATGCCGACAGAACCACAGATGGCGAGGATGAGTCCGATGTACTTGTCTTCCATTATGCATGTAGAGCGCTGTAGAGCGCTATGAAGGTGATTGAGGAGAAAGAGGAGCCAGCTCAGAGCTGGAGGAAACGTCCGTTGTCGTAACAGCGAACAGCGAACAAGCGGGTCAGCGCAGCGCAGCCATTAATATCACGTGCTCTCGGCCTCGTCCGCAAGTTCCGCAACCCATCCGTCAAAGAAACGCCAGAGTATCCCGGGCCTGTCGGCCATAGGTCGGCCACCCATGTCCGGAGTACTTAGGTAGTTGACTGCGAAGACTCAATTGCTAGGGTAAAGCTGTATGGCCTATCAGTTTCTCTAAGAAATTAAAGTACCTAGGTACTTTATCCTTGAACGTCACAAAATATGTATTGTTGTTAACATTCAAGTTAGGGGTGTTGTCAATTCTCCATTCTGCTTGATTTTATCGGTGCAAAGATAAACTTCTACAGTTCATTTGGAAATTGTGTAGTAGCTCGCACTATATTCTTATGGGTTACAGCACATACGCCGCGGTCACAAATTCAAGCACCTTCCAAATCGGACTATACTGTTGCCATTTCGGGACGCCATAATGATCTCGCCGCGTCAGCGTTGTCCAGTGCCTCATGAATGATTCAAAGAGTTCCAATCCACTAGCAGTTTACATCAATTATCGACCACTATCTACGGAGTTGCATAGGCAGCAATGGCGCTCGCAAGAGCGGCATCGACGGTCGACTTAATTGAGGTCGCGACGGAGATGAGATCGGTCTGCAAAGTAACAAATAAATGTAAGACCTTAAGTATGAATATGACAGCTGGAACTCACAGGTGAAGCGGCAATAAGGCCTGCCTCAAACGAAGAAGTGCTGGAGTTCAAGTTTATCAAATCCTGCTTGACGAGAGCACCAATGCCACCGATCGGAAGTCCGTCGAATGCAGGTTTCTTGATCACGATCTCTTTGAGGGCGTCAAGAATAGTCGGTACGAAGCCATTAACGGCGTTCACAACTGAATTTCCGTCTGACTCAGAGAATGGCGTTGGCGAGACCCCCTGCATTTCCAGTCCCTTTAGAAGTGTCATACACTCGGATTCATTCTTAACTCACGCCGACGTCAGTGGTTCCTTTATTAATCGAAGTAACGAGATTTGTAGCGCCAGTATGTATGGCCTGGAATTTTTTAATTCGGCATCATTGACTATGGGAGACGCATGGTCACTTACTAGAGCTGCAGCGAGGCTTCCCCCAGTCGCCGGAAAGCTGGTAATTTGCTGGTCGAGGGTAGTAAGCTGGCTGGAGATAGACGCAATGTCTGCGAGAACATCACTGGTGGTTGAGGCGTAGGAAGAAACTGCGAGTGATGCAAAGACAGCAAGTACGGAAAACTTCATGTTGTGATCGAGAAATTCCTAATTTTCCCAAAGTTTTCCATCTGCCTTTTATACGTAACTCTCGAACGTGTACACTCTCGAAATTTGTTTGAGTCAGCTGAGCGCCGAGGACTGCTTGTGATTGTTAAAAATAAAGGATAACATGGTTTGCATACTCACCTTCTCAGCGCCTTCCCAAGAATATGAAGGCGAAGAGTCTACTATTAGCTCTTATGGGAAAATATGGTATGTCGATCAAATGAGATCCAACCTTGTGACGAACTGGTGCACATGCTGACCAGAAAAATAGGATTACAGTATCCACTAATCCGGGTGCCAGACTTTACTGCGGGGCATCAATGATGAGTGTAATTCCAGTGCGACAACGGCTTCAAAGCGAAGGTTTTTCTCTACTGAATATATTCTGACCTCATAATCTGATATATCTGTACCATTACGATCAAAAAAAGAGAAGGAATTGCTACATAGATATGAATGAAATTTATCTCAACAAGGGAAAGCAATGCGTGTCAAGGGAAAAATCGTGGTTAATTCATGAAGGTGGTGAGAGGTCGTCCTAATAATATATTTGATCTGACGAACAGAAGCACCTTCGGCGAGCTCGCTCTTCTATGATTGTGCTATAAGGATTTACAATAACAACCTTTCTATTTGCATTGAGTTCTCAGACACCAAATGCACACTAAAATCTAAGTATACATACTAGACAGTGTTCACGCGTTCACGGTGGATCTCGTTCTCTGCTGCTGCTTCTACATGAAGTATATCCTGACAACATTCTGATCAAGAATAAAGTTATTAATCACACTGAAAGCGTCCGACGCGTCGCAGAACACGCGCGCCTGCGTATGCACCAAGGGCGCTCTCTCATGTATTCGTAGCCTCCCCGCCTACTATGTAAGGGCATTCTCACGTGCCTTCCGCTGCTCTGCGTCGCCGTTATATCGAATTTTCCTCCATAGTTGCCGCTGATGCATAGCGACATCGTGAATCAATACCTCTCG